ATCGCACTCACGATGTCGTTATACTCTCTCTGGTCCTCCAAACGGCGCCACGCCCTCTGCCTCGACGGGTCCACGTCAGCGGGCCGGGCCCCCGGGTGGACCCGCCTCGCGTGCCCGCGCAGCTCCCGGTAGTTTCCGGAAAACGAGCACGACTCGCGCGAGCAGGCCCGGGATTTCAGGTTCAGGTACTTTCGGGCCTCCTCCACGACTTTCCACTCCAAGACGGGCCCACGGCATAGAGGGCACTGGAGGCCCGGCTTCTCGTCCGTCGGCTTCTTGAAACGGTCGAGGCAGTTGGAGTGGCGGTAGCTCGTGTCGCAAATGTACGATCGGCAGCCCTTGTCGTGGGAGGTGCAGATGAGAAGGACTGCGTTGTGAGGATGATCCATGCATATGGGGCAAGAGGCCTCGTCCCATTCTTTGTTGTGCATGCTGGATTTGGGTTCCGATTTGGATTTGGAATTGGATTTGGAATCTGCATTGTCATTTGATGCGATGCTTCGTTTTCTACTATCCATTTGTATTGGGGTAGGCTGTGATATGTTACTAATAATGTTTGAGTGCGTGTTAGTAGTAATAGGGGTGTGTACAGAATGTAATTCCACATGAGCAATGCAAGTGAATGGAAAAATGAATTTGATGTTTTTTTGGAATCATGATAAATGATGGGAAAATAATTGGTATGTGGGTCAACTCGAGAGAAATAAAGGGGAACGAGATTGTTTAGAGTTATTATCTAACCAGAATATGCAACAGTGTGATTGTACAAAAACCTCAGGGCCTTGGGACCTACCCACACCAGAATTAGAGCTCATGAGTAGTGAAGCAGATAATCCGAAATATCTAAATATGAAAGAGTACGTATACTGAGCATCAGACTTCTTACTTCCATCCATTGCCTCTAATTAGTTATGTCAAAGAAAAGAGTGCATCTATGCCAAATCATTTCGAAATCAATTACTACTAACACAGGAAATGTCATGGACGGCAAAAGGATGACTTTATATCACCATCTATGATAGATATAGAGTACAAACCAAACCAAACCAACATATTCAAATTTCAGACCATGGTTGCCACTAAAACAGACAGCAGAATCAAAGTTAAATATGTTTCGCAACTCACCTTAAATTTCTGGAGCAGACGTGTCGTCAATCAACATGATAATTAATTATAAGAAAACCAAATTCGTATAAAAGAATTAGCTTAAAATTCACTCTCCAGAAAGTATACGAGATAATTGTTACATCCCTAAACAGAACTTTTCAGTAATTAGTAGTTCCTAATGACATATTCACAATCACAAAGGGGTTTGGCTTTCATAAGCAGTTGGTGATGAAAAATGTACTTTGAAACCAAAACCTAGCCCAATAATGGAAAAATCTTTTTCTTTTAACCAACTCGAATTCGACTCCAAATATCCGAAGTTTCAGTTTGCCAAGGTTCAAATTTGAATCGCATTGTTTTAGAGTTGAATATAGAACATGGGATTTACAATCATCATTCGATTAATCCAATAATTGAAGAGCTTTATTTTTTGATCCCGTGAAAGCCCTATCGGGAGATGACAAGAATACTCACATCTGGTTTATGCAACTGTATTCAAAACATATCAAAAGATGCATAAACTCAAGATTGTGACAATAAAACTTTGAAGCAAAAGGTAAATCTTAATTACAGGTCACACACAATCAAATATCATCGAGGCAGTCACAACACGGCACTGTACGCATCGAGTCAGGTCATTCACAGATAATCAAAATGTTCATGTTTAAGGCAGTAACAACATGCTAAGTTACGGCCATAATGACCGTTTAGTTTTTACTCACCAATCAAAGGTACCGAGATATTCTCTTTAACTGGCAGCTTCTGAACCTTATATCCCCAGTCTGAATCCTATGAACGTTCTGATTTAGCAAATGGTTTAATAAAGTATCTTTACTCGACTTTATAGCATATCAGATGGCAACCCGTCACCAGCAATTCAAAACTACTATTCAGAAAATGCACGATCTTAAATTCTTGAGAGTTATAAGGAATTATAGACTATTTCTTGAGCCAACAATCACCAATTTGAGTCCCACAACCTGCAGTAGTATTGTGGAACAGAAATTGTTATTTGCATTGCACATTATCTGGCTTTTAATCAAACATAATATAAGNAAGGTAAAAGGAGTTTAGTCTCAAATTATTCAGCATAATAAAAAAATTATTAATTACAGTTTCAAAATATAATCCCTCTGAAAACCCAAGAACCCAAAAGAAGAAAACCCCCTTTCAGAAATCCTTGCCTTTAATGCTAAAAAACCTTTGAAAAAATAACAAAGATCCTTCCTCTCTTTGTGATTTAATCAACAAACAGATATTCCACAATATTATCCACATGTATAAAATTAGAGTTACGAAGATAAGGAACAATCGCAACAAACGTCATAGAATTGAGGCAAATAAGGTCAGCAGGAAACAAATCGAGAAATTGAAATTGCGAAATTACAGTTCGAGAAAATTAGGGATGATCTTGCTTTGATAGATTGATTGTAGGAGGAGTTTAAGTTTAATTCAGATTTCAGGCGAAGATAACTGATCGGTGGAATTTACAAGATAGCGTTGGATGAAAAGTGGGTTGAAATTGTGAATAAGTTTTTGGCTGCCGATTGAAAAATGAGGAGAGAGAGATATACTACAGGCAAATTCTTTTCCGCTACGCATAATGAATCTCCAATAAATAGATTATGTTTAACAACTTCCTAAAAATAAATTATTTTTCATGAAAAATATATTTTAAAAAAATGTATCATGTTATTTTATCACTTAAAATTCATATACATGGATGCTTGAAATATAAATATTGTGTAGAATAAATGAATAAAAAAAATTAAAAAGAATATATCTTGAGATAATTAAAGATAAAGCAGATATATTTAAAATGAAAGCCGAGTTTTACACTTGTCAACTATTATAATTTTATAAGGCTTTAAATATATACTAATACTAATACTAATACTATTCACATATACAAATAAAATATTACAAGCGCATGAATTATTTTAAATTCATAAAATATATAATGGACATAACAAATTTATAAGTTTACGCATTAGTAAAAATAAAAATTATAATTATACAATATTTTAATTATATATAATTCAATATATAGATGCACAAAATTTAGTTAATGATGTAAATTTTATAAATTAAAGGTGTTATAACCAATTAATTAATCACAAATGATATTAAAATTATTATCTAATTTTGGTAAATTAAAAATTAGGCAAAATTATGTTCCAAAATGATCAGTTCATATTGACTTTTTTTGTCAAATGAACAATTTGCCATTAAAAATGGGTTGCAATATATGGTGTAAGTTATTAATTTTCAAAACAAAAAACTGTAATGAATGATTACTGTTACACGTTTGTTTGTGGTGTGTAAAAGGACCTCAACTGGACCGAACGAACTGATCGACTTCTCGACCGGTTCAAGATCTAGACCTGCAAAACAAGCGGAAGATAAATCCACTATTATGGTTAATAATTAATGAATTCTATTGGATAATGAAAGTATCAGACAAAACTTTTGATTTTTCTAATCTATCTAGAACTCCCACTGCAACAACATTCCTTCCCAAATTTGATGTCTTGTTCGTCAAGACATCACGCGTCATGCTGGGATAGTGGCCGCCGCTCGCCGGAAGCCGCCGCCGTGAAGTCTCCGAAAATATCTTTCTCCCAAAATCGAGCCCGGTCCTTCGTGCATGCTGCAGCGGGCCGACTCGAGTAAGACGCGTGCGGATGGCCAGCGCCGCACATCCATGAAGTAGCCTGCCACTGCCGGTCTTTGGGTGTCCCGTGCCTACTTACACGCGCAACTGGTGTTGGTCCATGCCTCAGCGCGACCTAGGTGCTCTACGTCGCACACCTGGGCTCCTGCCACGCCAAGCGCGGCGCCCGAGTCGACCGCATGCCCTGCCGCTGGGATGCATTTGCCAGCTCCTTGTTGGGTCTCTCGTGCAACTCGTGTCTCATGGGCTGCACTGGGTCTGACGCCTTGGCTCTTCCTGACAACACACTGTCGGGAGCCTGCATCAACCCGTGTTACCGCGACACGATGTCGTGTGACCCGGGGCCGATCGGGTCGCCGAGGTGTGTGGTCTTCGTGAACTCCCGGTTGATACGCAAACGTTCACAATCAAAACAAATAAATACAAATTTACAATTTCGATCCTAGACCCACCAATAAGTTTACATATTTGTCTATGAAAATAATTAAATCTATCCGGTGTCCCACCGAGCAAATAATTATCACAAACATTCAATCATCTTCCTCGACACATCTGAGGCTTTAAAAACTTGCAATAAATTAAATCAAACACATAGGCCATAACAGTGGATTAAACTATTCCTGCAAAAACCGAGTTATACAAATATATAATCTAATTCATGCGCTTGAACACACATAATTCACATAGCCATAAGATTTTAAACTTTGCGAAAAAATGAATTAAACGTGGGCTCTGATACCACTTGTTGGGATCTATGAAAATTATCGTAATTGTGCGAGTCACGAATTAATCTACAAACAAACCTGTGGGCAGCGGATCTATAGGTCAGCATAGAAAACTTACAGCTTAAAAATTTTGCAGACTATGAGACGTTGTAGAATTCCATTTGATGGAGCTCATATGATTTTTCACTCACCAGAAATCGCCTCGTAGGACATCTCGAGGTCACCGGGTATCGCGTGGGTCGTACGGAGTCGCAGCTGGTCGCGTGGGTCGTGCGGATGGCATCTAGTAGCTGTCGGGCTGCAGGAGGTCGTGCGCGGGTTGACGTGGATGCTGGATGGGAGCGGGTTGCACGAGGATGTCGCGGGTCGCAGGTGTGCAGCGGGCGCTGGGAGCTGGACTCGCAGGGAGCAGTAGGTCGCGCGGGCTTATCGCAGCTCACTGGGCATCACAGAGCTGCAGTTTGTGGGATGGGCTCGCCGGGCCGCGTCGCGCGATGCACGGTGGCCGACTGCGGTCTGGTGCTCGACTACCTTGGGATCTTCTATTGAATATCTTAACTCTTCTAGAACTCCCTTGGTTGGAAGGAGACTCTAGATCTCTCTTAAGTCTAAAATGTATGGATGTCTACTAAACTTTCGTGAAGTGGTGTATTTATAGACTTCAATAGGGACCCTAAAGAGGTATTAAATTGGACACCCTGTATATGGGCCTACCTGTGGGCCGATCCCACTCTGCTCATATACAAATAATACTATCATTCCACTAAAGTACTATTATTGCAACTACCAATAACCCAAATTACAATTTGAGCTCCGATTCTAAATTACTCGAATTACCTTCTAATGTTTAAGATATTATGTCCATCAATCGATTCGATTACTGACAATCAAATCAATTCATATCTTGAGCCGAAGCTAGCACCACTCAATACATTATTATTATGTCAGAACCACTTGCAGGGTTTAACATAATAATCCTTCTGAGCTCACTTTGGAGACATCATCAAACTTC